CTACGCGCAAGAGTGGAGGGCATGAGCAGCAGGGTGTGAGGAGGTCCTCAGAGCAGGCTGGCAGGAGGATGAAGGTGGCGTGCAGGGGCTCGTGGGAACCCCAACAACACGACCGCAGAGAAATCCTGAGAAATCCACCAAAGCCTGGATGCTGCAGACAGCAGAGCGCGTGAGGAGGGGCGGGGGCAAGCCTCCTACCACGGGCACTGCCTCGAGTGCTGCTTGGGGGAAGGCGGTGGGAGTCTGGGAAGGGGGCTTAGCTCGGGCCAGGGAGGCTGCTGGGCCTGCGGACACTCCTTGGACTTTCCCCAGGGAAAGGGGGACCTTGCTCTGTTCTGTGATGGTGGGAAGATGGGCTGTGACAGCAATCAAAGCCTGGGCCGGGCCTGAAGCTAGTGGGGACAGTGGGGAGGGGGCTCGATGCCACCTTCAATGCTCTCTTCTGCCACCAGTTTTCTGAACATGTGTCACCTAGCCTTCTGCTTAGGAGAGGGTCACCCTGAGTGAGGCAGACAAGGGGGTGTTGAGGACCCACAGCATGGGAGGGAGGAGTGGGGCAGAGCACGGGGCCAGGAGCCACTCCTCCAGGGAAGAGAGGAGAGACCAGGAGAGGGCTGAACCACACCCACAGCCCAGCCACGTGAGGGGACGTAAATGGCAGAGCCACAACCCTGGGTGGCCAGGAGGGTGCCATGTGCTCCCCTTCTTCAGGGTCCACTGGTGGCTCCTGGTGCCCCAGGAGACGTCCTGAACACCCCGGGCCTGCTGGCTGAGAGCTGGAACCAGGAGGCCCTGCAGACCCTGCATACTCTGGGAGGGTCACAACCCCACCTCCTCCAGAGTCACCTACCTGGGACCTGCTGTGCTGGCTGCTGCCACGCCTGGTAGGTGCTGCCCCAGCCCTGGGTCAGAAAGGCCGGGGGACCACTGTGGATAGCAAAAGAGTCACTCTTCCCAATGTAAATCATGTCCCCTCCTCCTGCCTCTCCCTGGGGCCACCTCTGGCCATCCACTTTTCACCTCCTTCTCGATTGCTCAGGTCCCCCGCCCCAACTCCTGCAACTGCCAGGCTCAACAGTCCCCTGACCTGTCTCCCCCAGGCTGAGGCACAAGTAGACGGCCTACCTCACGGGGGTGCTGTGGGGGTTCCCGTTCACTTTAGCAGCAATGTTTGGAAAACACCCCGAGCTCCTCGGAGGAAAGGTGCTGTAAGAGGGAGAGACGATGACAGATGGGGGCTGAGCTCCCTCCACTGGGGCGGCGACCAGAAGGCCCTCTGCCCTCCAAGGAGGCTCCCACCCACCCCAGGCCAGGGGGACTACTGGTGTCAGGAAATGAGCCCTGCTCACACGGGGACCTCAGACTTTGGCTGACCCTCCCTAAAGTAGCTGGAAGAGGAAGGGAGGAGCTCTTGGGAGAAGTGGATCCCCTGGCGAAAGCCAGTGTGAAGACTCACTTTTTTCTTTTAGAGGTTTTTGCTATAGGGCGCATGAGCTCACCAGAGAGACAGAGAGACAGAAAGCGAGAAATCACCCTCCAGGGGGATGGCCATGCTGCAAGCCCTTCTCCTCCATTCTCCTTTCGGGATCATGGGCACGCACGCACATGTGCCCGGG